AACTAGTTTTCGAATTATGAATCTCAGTTGTAAGTATCTATATCAGAATGGATACAAGAGTAGGGCTGAACAATATGGGTCAAACAGAAAGTCATTGTTTCCATGGGAACAAGTTCCCTCATATTTTATTTGCGTTTTGTCATTTAATGGATGAAACTTGTGGCGCAGTGATTTTAAATTGTCTGTATTTAAATAAAAATTTGATTTACAGTGGAATCAATGCGGTAAAGATTGACAGGTTAGTGGATGAAAACAATAAGTTGACAATATAATACTCACCTCATTGCTCTTTTGGCCCTGGCTCTTGCATAGTAGGCTTCAAATGAACTCGGTTTCATCTCTAATGCTTTGGTGGCGTACTCAACAGCAGCTGAAATGTCCTATTGGTTAGAAAATATGCAAATAGTACGTTATTATGCAAATAATATGCAAACAGTATGTAAATATATAAATTGAACACAAATATGCAAAATAATGTGCGAATACTATCCAAGACACAGTTCATAAGATTCTCTGCATTGCAAACCCTGGTCGATGCAGGATCATATTTCTAATGAAACTACTAGTAGTACTCAAGTATTTTTCCAAGTAGTGTTCAGTTCTCAAAACACCATGTACATGAGTGGTGCAACAAACATCGTTTTAGTATTTACTACAACACAGCAAGACATCATCGCCATATTTACTTTATTAGAACACATAAGCTTTTATTGTAAGGTGCATCATTATATTATGACTTGTGTGATCACAGATAGACCTCTGGTATTTATGTATTCACATTAGGGCATAATGCTACTAATAGAGAAAATACAGTATATAGACTTTCGCTAATTTACACATAGCAAAGTTAGCTAAAGTCTACAAATTTCCACAGTTTGCCTGATAGCACTGGGTGTAATAAAAGTGGCATCATGAACATAAAGATGATAGAATGAATCCAGCTGCGTCAAACGATAATTTTGATATGTAAAGAGTATCATGTCGTATTCAAGATGGCGGTCCCCATAAAGTAAATATGGCACTTGCAACAGCTGACTGTGTAAAGAGGTATGACTTACATTCATTTTTCTGCGACATCTTGAGACATTTAAGAAGAGGTTAGTTTTCAACTCTTTGAAGGTTCTTATTTCTTCACCAAATCCTTCAGTTGGGAATTTCTTTAATGCATACTGGTATTTGTGACAGGCTTCTCTGTATTTTCCTTTCTGTTACAATGAGAGACAATATTGTTATCAGTCTATGCAATGACTCCTTAGGTGATGAAAGAACTACAGTGACTCCCTAGGTAAGAAGAAAACTACAATGACTCCTCAGTTGGAGAAAACTGTTATGACTCCCCAGTTGGAAAAAACTGTCATGACTCTCCAGTTGGACATATTTGTAATGACTCCCTAGTTGAAGAGAGAACTGAGAACTTCACAGTGACTCCCTAGCTCAAATGAGAATTATGAGTTACAAGTAACTTGTAAGGCTACCATCCTTGTTGTCTTAGAAACATGTATAAGTAAAGATGTTTCATTTGGAATACACTAGACCAAATAATCCTAACTTTTTCAACAGAGGTATATGTATGTGCATACATTTCTAATTTCTCCTGATTGGTCTCTCCAAGGCAACCATATCCCCATATTAGACTACCTAGCAATTAGCTGCATTATTACATGTATATATAAAATACGAGTTTGTGCAATTAACATTGGTACCGCTTACCTTATAAAGATTATTACCATCGTCCATGACCTTTTTGATTAACAACGCCATGATATCTGGTTTAGCCGTGGCCATAGCCCAGGCAGCTGGACCGAGCTTAGCACCTTTTTTCAACAACACTGCCACAACAGTTGAGTTCCGACACCCAATAGCTCTGTCTAGAGGACGCATACCACTGTAATCGACATGTTCTAAATGTGCTCCTTTTTCGAGAAGTAGATGCACCTGAAAAATATGAATTACAGATTAAATAAGGTTATTTGTCTCACTGTTTAGATATTTTTTTTTTTTAGAAATATTTCTTTTGAGAGTTTCTGAGAATGCAAAATGCATATCAGCATAGAGCAAGATATGTTTTCTTTTTAAATTTTATATCATATTCGCCCTATTAGTAGCATATAAGCTTACGTAAATGACAAAAGTTATGTCTATGGTCAAAATAATCATATTTTTAAATAACAGATAAGTCTGCAATACATGTAACAGATTGTTTTCAGAATAGTGGAAATTGACATCAAATTGCTGTAAACTTGGAGACACAATTCAGTTTCCTACTAATGCATAGTATGGATGCGTTTCAATTACTAGTAAATTATACTCACCACATGAGGATCACCAAAAAATGAGGCCAGATCCAGTGGTGTACGTCCATTTTTATCGGTATAATTAACTGCTGAGCCCCTTTCTAGCAAAGATCGTAAACAGTGTATGTGTCCTTTCAAACAAGACCAGCATAGCGACGTCAAACCTTCCTTGTCACACTTTGTGACAGAAGCACCTGAAAAGTAGAAATAAGAACAGTGTATTAAGTCTTCCCAACTACATTCATAGGTCCATTCTTCACTGCTGATGATGTTAGCAATGATTTCTTTGAAGTTTCTGTATTCAAACTTTTTAGCCGAAAAAATTAATTTTTCATTCTTTACCTCTAACTTTTTTTTAATGATTTTTTGTTTGTTTGGTCAAACTCATGTTTCTCTCAGCACTACTATTATTCCACAATTCATAATTTGGTAAGTCAAACACATTTGTCCATACCTTTACTGAGTAGAAGTTCAAGTACAGCAAGATGACCCTCAGCAGCAGCGATCATTAAGGGTGTTCTACCGTGTCGGTCAGTCTCTTCTATGGCAGCGTGGTAATACAACAAAATATCAACGATTTCCCAGAATCCTCCTTTCACAGCTAGCATGAGTGGAGTGAAACCTTCCTTATTGCCGATATGTACGTTAGCACCCCATTTAAGTAATAATTTAACAACTTCAATCTTGCCATTTTGTATGGCTGCAGTGAGTGGTGTCTCATTGAGTAAGCTATCGTAGCTGTCAATCATAACACCTTCACTGCCGTGTGATAACTCAGCAAGATCCAGCAAGAATGATATCACCTAGGAGAAAATAGAGGTTAATATAGAAGTTTAGCTTTCACAGCAACACATCATACCTTATCTACAGTGTCAGTAAATACTTTACTTAATAGTCTTAATTTTTATACCTAAATATGTTAAAGTAAAACCATTTAAATATGCGATAATTGAATTTACAAACACTTGACATGTCGTACTGTACATTAAGACAGTAGAACAAGAATGGGACTACTTTCTTAACTGATCCATGACGCGCTCACAAAATACCATAAACTGCTATAATCTTACAAGAATTTTTTTTTAAGAGAAAAACTACCGGTATATATAATGGATAAAATTCTTTGAGCAAAAATTCATTCATTTATAGCACTGTAAACCACTTTCATTTTGCGAAAGAAAACATTTTGTTAGTTTTTGAGATTCAGTGAAAACGCTAAATTTAGTAGCAGGAAACTTTTTCTAGAGATCATGCAACACAGAGCACCAGAGACTTTCATGAAATTTTCTTCATGAATGCAGTAAAATTATCAAATTGCAAAAATTCCTAAATTAAGCAGTTTACAGAATATCAAAGGCATATGCACATCAACATTTAGTGTTTGGATGTGAAAGAATTCACCATCGCGATAAAACCTTGTAATTACACGGCAATGAAAGACAAGGCAACAAAAACACTGCAGGAATAAATGCAGCATTACCGGTAGTTGTAACTACAGCAATCACCACTCACCTCTTTATGCCCCATTGCAGCAGCTCCAACTAGTGCTTGCTGCATCGCTTTACTTTTATTTAATGATGCAGATTCTCTCCATTCTGCTTGCAGTAAAAAACTAATGGCTTCGAGTTTGCCGGCACGTGCAGCATGTACCAACGCACATTGACCTTTGTTGTCAATGTGATAAATCTATAAAGTGATAGAAAACTTGTATATTATTAAAGTCACAATAAATATATATTTGGTACATGTCTTTTTAAATACATTGCATGTTTATATTTAATAATCAAATATCTCTCGTTTAATGCTAATTTCAATTATACAGATAATGAGTTCATTTCTAATATATAAACCAAACACAAAACATAAATTACATTTTTTGAATACTGAATCATTAAAAGATGACTTATTTTCACCATAGTCATTTTGACCTCTGTATTTTACATAAATGAATGCACTAATAATTTACATGTGATTCATATTGAACACAATTTGAGCACACATTGATTTATTTCAATAAATCGCAGCTAAACATAATTTCATAAAAAATAACAATTACTTTCTAGAACTTATAACCGAGTATTACCATAGAAATTAATACACCCACATGACCTAATCACAGCTATGTAATGTGTCCTTTCACAAAAATAGAGATTATGTTTTGTCACAGACTTTTGTCACGGAGCAATGACCATGGTGATTTAGCAATGTATTTATACGCTGAATGTGTGGGTGGGGGTGAATGATGATCAAGGTACAATTTTACCACTCACCTTAGCTCGTTTAATAAGTAACATCCTGATAATCTCCACCTGATCACTCCCTGCGGCAAAACACAACGATGTTACGCCATCTTCGCTAACTGCGTCGACAGTTGCTCGGAACTCCAGTAACAACGACACCATTTCTGTGTAGCCTTCTTTGGCGGCCACGCACAGGATAGGTGCGTTACCGAAGACATCAGTACGTATGTTGGGATTGGCTCCGGCAAGTAATAACAGCCGACTTACCTAGTAATCAAACATGAAATCATTATGACTATGAGGGCGCTATAGAGCACTAGTGCAATGTTGATCATTGAAAATTGGTCAGGAAATCATGTAGAGCGCCCTCTATTGACAACTAAACGATTTTCACTTTTTTTTTTAATTTTCATCTGAGATTCTTCAGTCAGGAGGGACAACGATAACATTCAATATTGGGAACTGTCACCTTGCACAAAATTATTGATTAAAAAAATTGTCAGGATTTAATCTGTTCAATGTGACCTTTGATATGTCAGTCATATTCAAAGTCAATTACCCACAATGCATTGTGTCAATACTCGCAATACAAATTCCAGACATGTTCTAAATCTGAAATTTCCAACAAACTGTGAATTATCAAAACTCACCTTTATATTTGGCGAGAATAGATTCTGAATGCCGGCTAAACTGACTGATAAATCAGCAGCATTTAAAGACATCCATATTGCCTGTAGTTCTCTGGATGAGTAGCCCAACTGTCGACCCAAAGTCTTATAGATGTGGGCGTTCAAGATATGATGTCCTAATTCTAAAGCTTTAGCACCAACAAGTTTAGGAGATTGTTTTGATAATTTAAAGGCAAGTAAGGCATGACCATTTCTGTATGGAGAAAACAAATATGAGTGAGTTATTAGTTGTATATCATTGTTGAAACCACCAACAATCAGTGACACATTTGAGAAAGGAAGCATTTTGAAACCGCTGGAGATAGGTGGCACACTGTCATAAACCATTGGAGATAGGTGGCCTTTTTTTATAAACCAATGGAGATAGGTGGTCTTTTTTACTAGATAAATCATTGTAGATGGCCACATACATTTGTCATAAAACGACGCATAGCCCCTTTGTATATTTAAAACAAAGAAGAGAGTGAGAATAGAAGAAGGGGGAGGGGGTCAACTGTCGTAAAACACAGGAGATGCACAACCAATTTTCACAAACTGCCCCATTAATGAAATCCTTGAAGATAAGTAGTCCGTTGTCCTTAACTCAGTGGTTTATCACACATATTTGACACTCAAGACTAGACTTGTATAGTCTTCCCATGATAGTTATGTTAAATGTGCCTATATGACAAGTGATAGGAAACGGACATAATAAAGGTTAATTTGCAATATTAAGCACATGTGCTTATTTAAATGACCCTCAGCATAAATAGATCAGCGTACATTTGATGTACCTAAAGTCCCATCGAAACAAACAATTTTGGAAAACATTTTTGGTATCCTCAGGCAGACTCAGGGCATTGCCTGGCAACCATCCCCAGTGAAAACAAAAGTGCAAATCTCTCAGAAAACGGTACTTTTGGATTGTCTTTAGGAATTAGAGAAGCGCTTCTATCACAGTAAACGCAGCTATAAAAAGTAATGTTGCATACAGTAGGCTACTTTCCAACTTTCATCCAATCTAACTTTGATTGCTTTTATTCATACAATAAATATTAAACATTCCCCTGACTAACTCACTGGCTGGCATGCTATTGTTTACTTCACCCATACTCTTACCTCTGAGCACATAGATACTCAACAGTTTCTGACTCGTCGCGTCTCATCAACCACTCCCTAAAGGATGGATGGTAAAACATGCGTGTCTGGTCATTCCGGAGCACCAATAATCCGGATAACAAATCCATTCGTCGTTGAAACTCATCAGGGGAAAGAAACCTCATTGTAAATCCAGCATTGGCAGCGTCAAGAAGTTCCTCATCAGTGAGCGGGTGGAGACTAGCCAAAGCAGCCTCTAAAATAGGCATGACCTTCTCAAACGCTGACATGTTTGAAAAATGTATATTGCACAGTAGTAAGTATACTTCCGTTAAACAGACAGGAAGGACTTTATAGTTTGAACTCTTGATGACAATATGACCTCGCTCGATTAAATCCAACACAAGTTTCACATACAGAAAACAGCCTTCGCTAAGCGATTGAAGATGGGCAATGAACCTAGTCTGCATAGCGTATTCAAGTTTACCGGACAGTGACACATTGTTCCGGATGTTTGAACTGTGATTGAGACGATACGTGATGTAGTGCTGAATATCTCGGGGGATCTTATCTGTAATTCCTCTGTCAAGGTTGATCCGATGGAACGGCAATAATTTCAATAAATCCTGTGCACTAGTCCTAACTGTGATAATTAGTTTCAACCAACACGGAAACTGATTAGCATGCTTGATGACAAACGATGCGATACTATCGCCGTAATCCGATTTATGTATCTCGCCTTCATGAATAGAATCGATGAGTATTACACAATCTGACGAAAGCTTTCCTTGTTGTTTCAATGTGCTCAGCGGTTCAATAATCCCAGTCAAGAACGCTGATGACGGATTCTGGATACATTCCTTCATACTCAAAATGTTTTGTAAATGTGGCTCGCTGACCAACATGTCTTTAAATTCATGTAACTGCGGTGATTGCGACAGCTGAGCCGCTAAGCTGTGTATAAACTCCGGCACCAGACATGTGGTCAGGTTATCTGTTTGACAGAAATGATATGCAACAACTCTTGATGACAGAGCTTTGTAGACTCTATCTGACTGTTGTTTCATCCGTCTAGTTAAAGTGTCCGTACTTCCAATGCCGTTCAAACCATTGACGAGACCATTCATCTGAACCCCATCAAAATCTGGAATTGAGAATCAACATTTGGGATGGATTGAAAATACACTATTAAGTATTATAATTATTGGAAAAACTGAACTTTCTCCCATACACTATTGACCTCCACATAGCACCGAGTAAACTTTTGTCAAGTCTCAGTTCGAATGAAATGTTGATAAAAAAAATTTATCAAAAATTGTAGGCAAGATCAAGTTCTGTCTGTCTGTCTGTCTGTCTGTCTGTCTGTTCTGAAATTAATATTGAAATCACAGAATAATTCTGAAAATGCAGTGTAAGGGAGACAAAATGTTTCACTGAATATTTTTGTTGAACAATGAAGATGAAGAGATCAGAATGCTGAGAAAATCACGCACTGAATACAAACATCACTGTCAAGAGAACTGCTCACACAATATGATGTACGCCATCAGTTATGGAAAGCAACAGTTGGAAATAGTAATATAAACATACCCATATAAATAGTATATATGAACGAAAAACAAAATCATAACAAAAAATAATCATTACCTTCTACTGTTCCGCTATTCATGAAATCTTTTCCGACTTCGCTGCCAGATACCAACTTAGCAATAAGGGCAGTCTTACCATAACCGGCGCTACCAGTGATGATAATACCGCTATTATTAGGTGCGGAGTCACAAGACAGATGCTGCTCGATTTCGTTAAGTACCCAGTCACGGCCAATAAATGTTGGATCATCCTGTACGCTGGGGACTTCAAATCGTAGCGATTGGAGGTTGATTTGTGGCGGTTTATATGGTGCAAAACGAACTGTTGAGAAATAGAAAGTCATCTTTGTTGTAAAGTCTGTTCTACATGACCTTAATGAACTGGTAAAACCTCACAGCCGTAAAACACTAATAATGAGAGTATATGACGGCAACATAAAGAGCAAGAAATATGAATATGATGAGAATACATTAAATTCATCCTTGACCACAAAGGACACTTCCATAATAACACCAACTGATGGTGCCGACTATACTTTATAAAGGTGAACACATTTACATATTTATCATCACCATGGTTTTCCAGCAATTAAAATCATACACAATGGTATTTTATGAGATATATGAATAAAAACCATCTTTTAATAAATATTAATGATTTTAAAATCTATAATCCATTACATGTAACGGTGTTGGATACTAAGTTTAGTAACTCGGTAATAAACTGTAAACCGGCAGGTCAGCGATAATGTTGAATCAAATGAACATAATTTTACCTTGGCTATGAGTTTTAATCAAAATATCAGAGCGACATATTGACCTACTGCTCAATGATTTTGAGCAATTTCAAAATTATATCAGTTTTAAACTTTCAACCTATTTATTTATACTAAGTTTTAGTAATTCACAAAGAAAAATTATAAAATTTCATTGAAATTCACAGGGGTTTATCCAGGGACTCAGTGACTTTTGTCAAATCAAGTCATTCCAAATACCTTTAAAATAACTAATGTTTCAGAAATTAAAAATTTAACGGTTAAGGATTACCACTGAACATACTCTCAGAGGACCAGGATTGGGGATGTGGGAGAAGGTTCAGGGAATTCAGACATCTGTCATATCAAAACAAGACGTGGATGTGAATAAAGTGTGAAGAAGGGTTATAGCCAGAAAATAGAAATTGCCTGTCTAAAAACTTTATTGAAATAAAAGATAGCAGCCCCTAGTCTGTAACCACAGAATTACAATCGATTTTTGTTGATTATTTACAGTTATTTACTGGTGATTTACAATAAAAATTTGACAGGTTTGTAGAAATTTTGCCTGTCAAATGTAATTTTATACGTGTCTAAAATGACAGGTAGACAGGTGCTAGCTGAAAGCCTGGTACAAAGTAACAATATAACACTTTCTGACAGGGTGTTGATGCTCCATTATGCAAATGAATGAAACAAAATGACAATTGCCCTCAAATCTTGTGCTATTTTCTCCACAGTTTTCATAGATCTATGATCTTAGCTACTAAACCTAGTTAACATGTAAGGTGACTCCTGATTGGACGAATACATACAAATGTGTCAAAAAATTGATGAGAAAATAGTTTGGTGTTCAAAAGGTTAAAACAGTTATGCCACTTCTTCTGCAGGACAAATATAACAACCCAATTTCCATGGTGATACAATGAGATTCCTGTGAGATCCTGAGCCTGGGGACAAGTTTTTTGGTGCACATTAGTTTTACATGCTTGAAATAAATGATTTTACCTTTTAAATCGGGATGCTTTTGCATATGTGCTCGTAGAGATCGTCTAATAGCTGCCTTTCTTTGTTCCGCAAACATTGGTATGTCTTCTACTGCATTAGGATTGGTGGCTGCAACAAATAAAGATACAAATGTAACAGAAAATCAGAGATAGTCTTACATTTGAAAACATTCACCTGAGCAGGGATGTGAAGACCCACGCTAGACATCCAGTCACTTAGACATGAAGTACTAAACTAATGAGTACCAAATAGACAATGTTTTTGTTTTTTTAAATCACAAAACCCTGAGAGCGGAAGAGCAGCTGAAATAAAATGTGAATGCTGAATAAACGAAACATTGCAAAGATGCTTTGTAAATACACGTAATTTATCATTAAATATTAACAGTTATGATTTAACCTAAAATATTAAAATATTGCATGTAAATGCTACTGTATTGACTCTATTAGTTGCATATACACTTTATATAAACATATTTCAGTGATTCAGTATACAACAAATGCAAATTGACAGCTTATGTACGCTAACAGAGCAAATATGAACCTTTCTACCAGCAGTTCTCTCTTTTTCATCACAAATTCACAAAATAGTCCTGTTTATAATCATCACTTTCCTTTAGAAAGTTGAGACAAAAATAGCCACATTTTTTAAGTAAAATATAAAAAATTTACTTGAATTTTGTCTGTTGACTCCAAAATTAGGGTCCATTTCCAGAATATTGAAGAATATGAGAAAAAGTACAGAAAATTTGGGCAAGTAAGTCAGGTGGTGAAAAACCATTTTATTTTTGCCACTATCAATTTTTGTGGTAATATTGACAGCACTAGACAGCATTTCAAGATTGTAACTCTTAAAAGATTCCAATGAAATGTTCACTGATATAAAATACCTTTATTTTTGTGAAATTTTCTAAAATAAAGCATTTCAAAGTAAACTGTAAACCACAGACAAAATATAAACATACAACCACAGCCCCTATAATAGAACCAACAATACAACATTTTATAATATCAATAACGACTACAAATAGACAGAGTGACAGAGAACTCTGATACCAGCACAACTACACACCAAGTGACTGATGATATCTCCTGGCATAGTGGATGTGTTCTACTAAATGCTACAAGAACCATTATACAGCTAATCTAACATCAAATCTAGATGATTTTTGTACTGTTATAATAAGAAAGATTTCTATCTGTCAATATCTGCACTTAGAGGTTTCCACAGAATTCTGGGAAATACTACGCCCTGTTTCCTGTACCTATACTTTTTGTGAAATGGGGGTTTTATCACAGCGAAAACCATCCAGGCAATGTTAGCTCAGATGACAACAGAAGAGGTTATGATATATATAGAAGCAAATATACCAGACTGACAGTCATTTGCGAATACATGTACTGTGAATTGAAAACTACTTTTTTTTTGATTGTTAAAAAAAATTCCCTGATTCAACACTGTATTCAAAATGGCGATAATCTCACTCACTGCTACACAGTCAAATCTGCCCAAGCCTTCATTGCAGTAGTTGTCATTGCTTGAATTACATTTGATTGATGTACATGGAGAAAGGAATCTTTACCACATATCACCAAATACAGATATTTAAGTAGCATACCTTATAAATCATTCTTGTTACATATGTTCTAGGTCAATTTGTTTTCTAAAATTGAAGTGTGTTATTCAGAAATTGTTATTAAATTTATGATTTTTTATGAAAACTGAATTTTTCTTCAATGAATTTAATTGGTTCTACTCGGTACTCTAATAATATTATAATGTTGATATCAGTTTGTTTTTTTCAAGTTTAGGTCATATGTAATATGTCTGCTACTAAAGAAAACATTGAGTATGAACCGTGTAAAATTTAAAATCTGTACTATTACATAATATATAACATAAGGTTATGCAACTGGTGTTATATGTGATGAAGAATTTATATGTGAAGTTATATGAATCTCAAAATGATCACAAAAAGGAAAATTAAAAAATTATTACTAGTGTTCAACTCAAGCTGTTTTTTCTGGTGTCCTTGCATATCTGTGAGGCACATGTAAAGTGTCTTTTGTCTTTTTGAGTATGGTGATAAACAAGCTTGTTCAATTTTCACATCTGTTGCATTCTGTGTTGCATTGATCAGAACAAGTCCGATAGATTTTCCCCCTTCTTGCATTAAATTAAATTCAAAAACAGGATATAAAAAAGTCACAGTGTTGTAGTGGCGTCTGAGGTTCAACAAACATGAAAGTATTTTGGGGGATATTTTCATGCTTAATAATGTACACATTTGATGATATCAATTATAATGAACTAGGTATCTCAATGCCAAGTTCTTCTATGAAAAGATCGGTGTATCGACATTAAAACTAATATATAAAGGAAATTAAAAAAAAAAAAAAAAAATTCAAATTCAGAAGTCATTTGATTTTCTGGCAGATATTAAAATCTGCAGTGAGAAGAAAGTTCCCTTCCATGCTTACATGAAATTAAATGTTCAACACAAATCCCTTTGCATGGGATATACAAGCTGCACTCACAACATGTTACCGTGTTTAACATCGATAGATAGATATAACTGAGGAGAATATAGTGTTGTTGCAAAATATTCACAAACCTGAACAAACACAGGTGAAATTCATGATAGTGTCCGGGAGAAGAATACCATCCTTAGCACACTTAACCAAACCTACCACTCCTACCACTATACTGTGTGCAGTGAGATGGACAATAGATGTGATTATTTATGACCTGATTAATTATGCAAAAATACCATGGTTAATTCATTTATTTTAATCAGATCTCTGAGATAATGAGATATTTTGAGGCACTTGCAGGGACATTAAAGCAGGAGGTCGAGAGGGGTCCAAGACCAAGACACATCTCAGTGCAATAAAGCTGAGAGAGTACAAAACAAATTCTGACTACCAAACTAAATTTGCTCTGGAAAAGCTTGATTTAATAAACATTGCAGGTTCACACTGTATCAGAATAAAACAATAGAAGTGACCAGACTGTGAGTCTAAACAATGAATATTTGCATAATAATGGGAACAAAGAAAGGCAATTCAGTTATTTTGAGCTTTTGTGAGAATCTGTTGAAAACGCATATCCCACCATTACATGTGTGAGACACATGTGACAAGGTGATTTGATGTCAAGCACAGAAACTCCACCAGAAACATCACATGCTATTTGTTATGGCTACTTTGATTGGCTGAATCCAAAACAGAGTGTATAAATAAATTTAAAAAAAAAAATTTCATTGACTGAACAGTAACAATTTTCCCAGTAAAGTGTTTTTTGTTTTTGTTTTATTTTCTAATTGCTGACAGGTGTTAATCAAATCCTTCCACAAATTTCAAATAATTATATGCTTTAGAAATGTGTAGTACAACTAACCGAAATTTAATATTCACTTGCATCATAAATAGTAATACTGCACTTGCAAAATACTTAAAAAATACAATTTATAAAACCTAATTGTAATACATAGTTTATATATACCCTTTGAATTGTTTGTAATTTTGAAACTTTTGTTGTTTTTGTTTATTTGTGTTTGTTTTTTCTGATCTGTATCCTTACCATACAGCACTCAACGATGGTGCAGTTGTGTAATAAAGTTATTATTTAATTAAATTTTGTAAATGTTAACAAAAATTGGCTTTGACATTAAAAGGGATATGAACAAATTATTGTAATATATATTTAATTTTATGTGTAGCAAACACAATCTGACCGAAGGCAGCAGAAAGCCATGAAATAAATGCTGATAGACGAGAACGGTGATGGTATTCTGCCAAATCTGTAAATTGTTATAAAGTTACATCGTAATTATGGGAGAGATTGCCCTGGGTAATGTTTTGGATAATGGGTCATATTTTGGGAGATCACCAAAACCAGGGTGATGTTCTGGCACTTTTCTCAACATTGTTTGTTCAATCAACCATTTCCACGTCCACACCCAGAGACAACACACATCAGTTTTCTCATACAGAAGTTCGATTTACACTTGATGCCATAAATTCATGCACCCAGTTTAATTTAAATAAAATTTTTATCTGCTGTGTTCGAAAATTCACACTTTTCATGCAAAACAGAAATCATTTGAAAAAACCATGTTGTAAAACATTACATCATGATGTATGCATTACCTCGCATTGTCTGTGATCCCTACAAGAGATCACAACACATGGTACCAGCTATGACTCAATGTGAACAATCTTTTTTCACTCACAACATAAGCACAACCACAGACCAGGAAAGGGAAAAAAGTGCTTACAAAAAGGTATTACATATAAATCAAAACATTTCCTTGTCAACAATAGAATTAAAAAGCAATGTTCTGACAGCTTGAATGACGCATAGCACAATATTATTGAAAAAATGAAAGTTTATTGATGAGTGACCCGATGTGTGAATTTGCGTCTTTGATTGTATAGCTGCTTGACCCTGTGACAGTACAAGTTCGCCAGATTGACGAAATTTGTAATTGCATTTAAATTATTCTAACAACGAACTTGCGATAATTTTTTGGAAAAAACAAAAGTTTTTTTAATGACCATCTTGGGCGCAACTTGGATGTCACAGTGTTATTTTTTTGGCAGAATTACATACTTTCTACAAAGTTCCATCATTACGGTACAATTGTGATAATAATCAAAATGATACGCTGAACTGACATTCTATTCATAACCGACATGATATACCGATGATATATTCATCACCAACTACCAGTATAATAACGATCTAACCTGTGATATCAAAAGATCTTTCAACCCTCTTCTCATAGTAAAACCTGATAAATTAATGTTCCAGTCAGTGCCCAAAAAACATAGTGTTGGCCAATTTGTTTTCACTCAATTTGCTATTGCACAGTGCCCTCTATTGACAAATTGAACAAACTTGCAAAATTTGTGCGTGATTTAATATTTTATATGTTTTTTGAGAACATAATACAGATATGCAGGAAAGTCTATTATACAGTGTCTGTCATTGCACAGTACACTTTTAAATTTTGTATTTTGCAAACCATGTATACACTGGCTGAGAGCTGTATCGAACATGCCATTGTTATGATGTGATATTTTAAAATTGCATTACCACTTTATCTGCATAAAATCTCACTGACCCCTGACCCCTGTAAGCATTCCCATTTTGTATGATCTGCAGAAAATCTCACTGACCACTGTAAGCATTCCCACTTTGTATGATCTGCAGAAAATCTCACTACCCCCTGACCCCTGTAAGCATTTCCACTTTGTATGATCTGCAGAAAATCTCACTGACCCCTGACCACTGTAAGCATTCCCACTTTGTATGATCTGCAGAAAATCTCACTGACCCCTGACCCCTGTAAGCATTCCCACTTTGTATGATCTATAGAAACTCACTGACCCCTGACCCCTGTAAGCATTCCCACTTTGTATAATCTGCTCAAAACCTTTCTCTGACCCCTGAAAGCATCATAATGGTGTTGGGATTTTTTGTACAGTTCATGAAAATGTTGACATGTTTGAGTTCTGGGCTTCATACCAAACAGTTGTTCAGGAATAATATATAGATAGTATTACCATGTACCCATACTCATTGGTTGCTGTTATTGCTGAATTCTCTGCATGCTTATTTTGCTATATCCTTATGACAACCTCATATTATATTAAGGTTATTACGAGGATACATTAAAGTATGCACAAAGACAGTACAGCTGGAGTATCGACCGACGCACAGCGGAGGTCGATGCGATGACGTATTGTCTGAGTGCATACTTTGAGGTATTCTCATAATAACCTTATTATGATACATCTTTCCCTTCCAAGGATACACCATTGGAATGCCGAAATTCAAACAGTTTAGAACAGAATCAGGGAACCTCTTTGTCTGGAGTCAGGTCAAACTAGCGGCAGCCATGTTTGTTTTTATTATTAGAGGACGCTTACGTGTGTAATCATTCCATATTTGGAATTCGCATTTCCTTATATGGTAGGGTGAAAATACCCCGTAAAATATCGCAAAATTACGGCACCCTGTAACTTATGACGTCATGGTAACAGATGTATAATAATAATTATTATTTATTATTATTACTTACTTGACACTGAATGAGGTCTTCCTGTACTTGTACTGTTCACCATTGGTGTGGAGGCTTTCAGTGGAATACACGGTGACATACTCAAACTAGACGTGGTGCTCTCAAAGCTCTGATCAAAACCGATATCACCACGACAGGAATCACGACTTCCTGTTGTGTTGGGAGTTCTTTCATCAGAGCTGGCAGCTGTGAAGTAAGAAAAAGATGATGATAATAATAATGGTATTGATGCATAATGATATTGATAATAATAACTGTGATAATCAATAATTATGATTATACTAATAGTCGATGGTGATGAGAACACTCAATGATGAAGAAAGATAAATACCCCCGGTAATGGTCACATGATGCATAAGAGGATTCTAATTTGGTATTGTACAATAGCCAGTCACTTGGAAAAAAATAACCTTCTTGAATTTCCGTGCAGCCCTAACTGTGCCAAATCATAGTATGCAGACATGTATAGAGTGTCTATTTCACTTCGATACGAACATCCAAGTAAGCACATAGCTATGTTATAATGACTTCCTACTTCTCTGTCTGATTTTGACTCATGTGTCAAAGGTCAGATGTTATGATACCAGATTAAGATCGCTACTGGATACAGTATCGGAGAATATGATTCTCAAATTACTTTTCTATTTGTGCATGTTGTGTGAGCTCTTCAGTAGTACCAATAGATGAAAGATAAATAGCTACTTTATTATAACATAAGATTGGTTACCATGGCAAAAAGAAGGTATAACAAATTACACAAAAGTTAGTTCACTATTCACTATCATGTATCATATTTCGTTTGCGTAAATAACAGGTGTGTGTCTGTTGTCATAATATGAGGTTATTATTACAAAGATATCTGACAAAGCATGCAAGACGGCAATATGGTGACCGACACATAGTAGAGGTCAATGAGATCCCACAATGCCTGAGTGCATACTTTGCAGTATCCTTGTGATAACCTTATTATTAGACATCATTTCCAGCTTTTACCCTGGTAGTCGTAATTTACTGAGATAGAACAGCCTGAAATTCTATCAAAATGTATTAGTGTCTGAGTGAACATTTGCTTCAGGGATGGATTGTATTTCAGTCACACAAACACGTCTGATGTAAACAAAAGAACATGTTCGAATATGGTATACATTTTCCAAACAAGGAAAACATCTGAATGTGCCTGTAACCCTTTCAAACATGTTTGTAAAACCTTTTACGGACAGAGAAATTAATCCAGCATACAATACATACAATGAATTACATTTCAATACAAACATTGCGTAGTTGTACTGTTTAACCTGTACCCTGATAGTTATTGAACTATGATTAAATAATTCTGACAAACTTCACAATAAAACTGTCTAGCTGGGGGTGGGGGTGGGTGGGGGTGTAGAGGCCTTGTTTGGGAAGCAGATTTTTCATATATGCAAATGTCCTGACTTTTTACGGTTAGCTCATATTGCTCTAGGACAGTACAGGTACTCACCATGAAGAGGTGATGGCGTTCCTAATGTTGACGTTGATGTCGGCTTATCGTGGGTTATGTCACAACTATCCAGTGATGACACACTCGTAAACGACGACTGATTGACACTACATGAGGAAATCTGACGAGAATTATTCATTTCTACAGGATTTGTTTCTTGATGAGTAATCCTTGGAGAAGGTAACGACTCTTTTGCCAGAATGACATGTTCGGCTATCTTCACAGATGTTACAGGCATGAGACACTCACTTATTTCGGCCAATGGTTCCTCAGCGACTGTTTCTAAATTGTCATGATGATTGACTTTAGCTTTCAATAAATACCCCAATCGATCCATCAGTGCTTGTGCAGCCTCATCCACAGATGGGGGTGGAGGAGACAGCGGGTAATCCATGTTCGTTACTGGAACTGCAAAAAAAATAATGAAAAATTAGGTTTTTGTTGTAATAATGTTGTCAATTATATATTTAAAGAGTGTAACATATTTGCTCTTCTGGACGAGCATCTCCAGTAGAAGCACGCATAAATACATTTATTATACAATTGATCATTTAAATGCAACAAATTTTTACATTTTTTTTTTATTTACCAAAAGCTATTAACAGAGCAAATACGATAGATGTTTTTTTTTTTGATAAATTTGTCGCAGTAGAGATAACTGATGAGATCTCACAGGTCAGAATCCAGTGATGTAATTACGTACTATGTAGTTATGTAGCTACACATAGGTATGACGACTATTGACGTAATTCAGGGGCCTTTCATAGTAAGAAACTGATGCTGAGCACTACATGGCAAGATCTCAAGTAACCACTAATGATATCCGCTCATACTTTGTATGAAGAGATGCGAGATATCAAATACTTAGGAAGTTAGATGGCTAATTAAGAGTAACAATTCTGAGGGGACATCACTACCATGGATGTTCCCACCAGAATGCCTTGGTACCCCAATATATCAGATATTTTCTTCCTAATATGATTTCCCATTTAACAATGGATTCCCCACTGCTTTCTGGAAATTGACTAAAGGCTGATATGCCACCTTTTACTTTATTTGCCCCCCACAAATTTAACATAGTGAACTTTTCATTTTGGATTTTTAAGATGACAAGTCACAGCGACTTTATCATTAACGATGAAAATTATCGAATCACCAAAATAAAAAGCATTGAAATGTAAACGTTTCACTCGACTGATGGAATCAGCTGATGCTAATCAGACGTATGTTACACCTGCACACTGGCTGAGAATTCGAACTACTCCTTAAACTCAGAAACAATCACGGCTGTAAGCATTCCCGACCTCACACAGTCCTCACAAAATACAAACACAAGAAAACATCATGAGAATTACCGGTAATAACTTCGATAGACCTCCATAATCACCTGGCATGTGTTGATATATGTGGACAGTAATCCCGAATTGTCCATGCCGGGCATAGCAGAGTATGTCTCAAAGCAAACCAGCTGAAATGAACACCCGGCTACTTTAGCGGAATGCTAAGCATGTCACATGACTACTGGGAATGCTCTGAGTTGTACGTGTCTGTTGATGCGGGTTACATGATAGGCGTTTTATAGGATATGATATATACAAATCTGCAATGCTAACTAATCTAACCATACTTTAAGAACTCTATTTCAAATATGTGCGTACCACACACAGAGGTAATAATGCATTTTATATAGGGTGAACTTTTAAACCTCAGCTAGGGATGAGTCATTTAGTTCACTGGGGTGGGGGCTAATTAACCATGATTTTTTTGGGAAACATTATCTTGTTTCTATGCAAAGCCATCAATCTATTAAAGTGAACAATTGAAAAAAAACAAAAAAAAACATCAATGTCAAATGACCCCTCCCCGACATAAAATGTCAACCCTTAAAACCATTACTGTAAGAATATTTGTTTTCTACATTTTTGTTGATGACTTTTTTTATGGTTTGCAACCAAATTACGCCAGATCAATTAAATTAAACTACAGTGTACTGTAAAAGCATTAAGATTGGGATTTATTGATATTGATACAGCTAAATAAACTAATTTAATCCATAATAGACTGTAATGTGGCCTGGTTATCTTCATATTATTACATGGGTCTTTCGGCTCCATACTGGTCTGAAAATGTTAACCATGTAGATTTATTAAAACGTCACAATGAATGGAACGGTCAAATTTTCGTTTCTGTAGTAACTATTCGAAGAACATACAACTGTCATTCATTGGTTGGTACATTAGCATATTCAGATTAGCTGTGTGCTATTTATATCAACCAATCAACGTTGAGGTCACCTATTGACCATACAAGTAAAATTGAGGTTAGACTAGACTAATATGGAGAGAGACGCAGGACGCACAAAATTATAAAAGGGGAACCAGGCTAATTGTAATGGAGGTTGGAGTGACACAAGAGCACTTCAAGGTCAGCAGACAATAACACAAACCACATATTACACTAATGATGATCCAAACTATCAAAGTTATTCGATTTTGCGTTCAACATATTTGACATTTTGCTTTGTAGTGACTTACATAATTAGTTACAATTTGTATTATGATTTCTTTGTTTCATATTTTATTGTACATATAAACCAAATTTGAAATCTACTCTATAGATGGCATACAAGCCAAGAACATTATGCAAATTTAGCTAATTATTATGCACAAATTGTGTCAGAAACCAATCACATCTTTCCATCGAATGAGAACACGCTGTATTGAAGATATCTGGATTATATTTGTTAAATTGTCTAGTCATTACGTAACAATG